TTTGGGCGAGTGAACCATGAAGACCAAACAGCCGTTGGACATGAGTCACTGGACTTTAAGTTATGCAGACGAAAGCTTTGAGACATGTTATATTAGTCAAAACATCAACTGTTTTCACAGTGTTTATGATTTTAGGAACATTTTTGTTCATGAATGTACTTGTTTGCTTAAAGTGAATAACTGATGCTTTGTGCTTAAAGAATGCTGTACGTGCCTTTTTTATAAAGGAGATATTGCCGGCTTGAAAAGCTTGCCTTGCAATGAATTCATAGATTTGGAAAGGGCAGAAAGAATAACTAATCATTTAGTCTGGTTTCCCATAAAGAGCTGTAATAATACCTTTGGTCTGGCAAAGATATAATTTCTATTATTTGAAGTCCAGAGTGGCATCTCATCTGCTACAGAAGGCAGGGCTGGGCTCTCGTTTTTACCATGGGAGTTGTTAGGTGTGTACCTGCCCACAGCTGAGCAGGCAGACAGAGGAGAGCTTCCACCCTGTGTTCAAGTGGCGGTATTATTGGGGGGCAGGATTTCAGAAACAGTCTGCAGCGGGTGCAGCTATTTGTCTGGAAAGACCTGTGCCCGTATGTTTCACCAGTGATAAATTGCAGACGTGAGACGTTGGTGGTTAGATACCTGTCAACCTGTCTGAACTCGTAAAGCAAGTCATTAATTGCTGAACTGCTCATACTTACGGTTTATCTGAACTGAGGGCACACCATCACACCCTACAAACTGGAGGCTCATATGTACTTTAACTGAAAATCAAGCCTTCAGCATATCTGATGGTCTTTCCCATAAAGGAAAAAATCTCCAGTCAGCCTCAGCTTGGGTTTTCCAGCTGCATCTCATGGTGGTTTTGTGGCCCTAGAAGCTGTCCTGATACCTGCTGTATGTCTCTGTGTTATGAGGGAGAGGCAATGCCATCGCTGCCTTTGGGGAGCCTGGTGCTTCTGTGCCTTGGTGCACTTAAAACAGCAGGGGACACAGGCCTGGGGAATCCCTGGTGTTTCAGATCCTGCAAGGCAATTCCTGCAATGCCCTGGGGGATCCCACTGCTCTTGGATCATCGTAAGAGCACAGGGAGAGGGAAATCCATTTGGTTTTCTTGTTGGCCGTTGTACCTGCCGTGCTCGAGGGAGAGGAATCCACAAAGCCAAACGCGAGCGAAGGTTTTCCTGCCTGCACGGGGGACAGGGTCTGGCTTTGTTTTGCTCCGTTGCTAACAACGCTGGATGGGTCTGACTTTCCAGGCTGCTCAGGATGAGACAAACAGCCAAGGGAGCATCAAAGCGAATGGGTGTTTTTTGATCAACACTGGAGAGAGTTTGTTTTCTTTCTCCACTTGCCCAATGACACACGGACTTGGATGACTGGTCTGTGACAGAGCCGGTTGGAAAATGTCAGTGGAAAAATGCAGAAAAAGAGCAAATATTTTTACACGTGTTAGTGACAATATTTTTACCTTTGGTCAACCCAAACCAACGGGGATATTTTCTTCAGGACAAACTGTTGAAAGCTCACCATTGCCTGTGATAAAATGTATGCAAAAGGTGAATGTGCATGACCACTCATTAAAAATAGCGCTCTTGTGGTGAATGTGATGCAGTAAAACTGCATCTAATCTTGCAGCTGGAACATCTGTATAATTAGCAAGATTTCTCACCTCTTCCAGCCAGTGGTTCATGTATATGCCTGCCCTTTGCATACTTTTTTTTCCTTTAGGAATAAGAATTAATGAAGGAGACCATTTGCAGAAACACTTGCTGCTCCACACGTAACCATCCCCAGTGGGTGCTTTGCAGCCCTCTCTAAACATAGTTTTAACAAACCTGTGGCTGTATCATTGCAAAACTAAGGCAATAAATGTAATCCTTACTCTGTCAGTAAGATTCCTAGTGAGTGCCTACCTCGCTCATTGGGATCTGCAGGAGAACTTCCCTGGCATCTGCCGAGGAAGGACATTTACTCCAAGAACAGGTTTTTGGCAGTTACCTAATGCCACAGCACACTGGTTAGGGCCTCTTCATCTACCAACACATCTCTCGCTTCTGCTCTTCCCAAGAGTGAAGAGTCATCCCTGCAGGCTTGTACCTAAATAACCTGCTCAGGGAATACAGCAGAGGGAGGCTTCTCTCTCTGGAAGGGCCCAAGACGCAACAAACCTGAATGCCTGTGGTAAGCAGGGTGTCTAATGGGTCCTGTGCACATTTGTGCCTTGCTGCCTTCCCCTTTAAGAAAGCCTGGTTAAAATCTAGTTTGAATTATCATTGTTAGATAAAAATTGATTAATATTTGCATAGCCCCAAACCCTGCAAACAATTGTGTCACTAGAAAAGCCAAAAGAACCATGAGTTTTAAGCCATAAAATTAGAATTTCAGATGTAGAAGAAAACACATCAGTGGTTAAAGACTTTTACCATACAGTAAAGCCAGTAGAAATTCTCACCACTTAAAAATGTTGATAAGGTTTCCTGTTGTATTTTTTTTCCTGCATTTTTATTAGCTCTTATAACAATATAAAGCCAGAGTCCTGGTTAATTTTTCTTACCCTTTTGGACTTTCCCCTTTTTAAATCCCTAGTGTTTCTCTTTTCATAAACCTAAATTAGGGCTGTAGTATTATTACCCCATATTTACTAGTCTTAAAGAATTACTTCTGACTAGCACGTGACTAAATATTTTTCATGTAAATAAATGCAATCTCACTTTTGGTAGGATTTGTATGTAAAAGAAATACATGCAAGTGAAACCAAGTGCCTTTGATAAATGGTTTGGGATTGCTGATTAATTGGAACTAAAAACAGATGAGAAAATTGAACATATGTTCTTATTCAGGTTCCCTGGAGGATTTGTCAGGGAGCTTGGCATACATTAATAATGGCTTGGAATGGATTTAATAGCTCATCTTGTAGTTTTGCACACGCACAACAACCAGTCAATATAAAAAGCATGGTGTCATCTGTCTTTTTTAATTAGGGATCTCAAACGCCTTTGGTAATAAAGGCTAGTAATTAAGCTACAATTAGAAAGGAAGCGTTAGGACGTGGTTTTGTCACCTCAGGATCCGTAAGCGGCAGGAGGAAGAGGGTAGGTCTTCCAGAAATCTTGAAATACTCCGAGTTTATGATCCTTTCCTGCACAGCACATGGCTGGGCTTGTCAGCTCCCCAGCTACCGCATGCTCCCAGGGATGAGAGCCACAGCGCTGCGGATGCTCCTTGGGTACACAGAGGGTCCTGGGGCACCTTCTCCCCATGCCCTCAGTGGCCAACCGCACACGGCAGCTACATGCCCACTGCATTAGCAGTGACTCAGATTTCACTGTACAACCCTGACGCCTAAACCCAGCTCTTCAGACACTTTTGCTGATGGCACTGATATTTCTAAAAGTGTTGGACATAACTCTCTGAAGGAACATACTATGCTTGTGCTTTCCTCGGGATTTCCCTGTGGGTCACTTACCTTCCCGGGTGCTCCTGGAGTACCTGGTAGACACTAATCTGGAACGTTTCATTATCGAAGCGTTCGCGGATGTAATCCTTGTATATCCTGAACTCAGCAGCCGTCACCGCTTCCCCCTCTGGGATTCTGGAGAGATCAAACCTGAACTCTCGGTAGTGGCAGCGTTGATGGTGAAACTCTCTGTCATGCTCCACTGAAACAGAAAAACAGCCCATTAGCCACCTGCTTTGTTCCCTTTCCCCTCACCATCAAACAAGCTTGCAAGTTGCCACAACAGAAAAGGGCAAGAATATCTGATTGCAGCATCTCATGCTGTTGCTCAGTTCATTAAAGCATGTAGGAAATACACAACTCTATCTGGGCTATTATAAGCATGTATGTGTTTATCGGACTCTCTTTGAAACAGTTTTACAGCTGGCTGGTACAGGGTGTGGGTGACTGTTGTGTTTTAATGATTTTTGGCAGCTTTGTGCTTGACAAGTGACTCTGGACATTTGCCACCGATAACGACCGAGCTGCTGTGGGAAGGAGCAGAAGGAAACAGATGGGGCCTTTCAGGAGCACTGGTTCTTGGCCTGACTCTGCCTCTGAAAATTACACACGTGCACAAATGCATACCCATACATATATACACAAATTCCAGTCTGTGAGCCTTTCATGCTGGTGACCCACATTTGATGCCAGCTGAATTAATCTCAGACCCGGAGCCCCGCTTTGAAGGGCTGAAGCATTCATTTTAAAGCATCTTTAGCAAGCAGGGCTGTGAAGCCAATGTTCAAAGTGAGGAACTTCTTCCACCTCCCACTCACAACCATGAAATAACAAGAAGTGCCAGAGTCCTTCCAAGACAGCGTTAGGCCAGTGCGTTATCCCACCGAGTGATGGATCTGCTGTCACTCTGATGAACAGCTGATGGGCTGCGGATATCGAAGCTGAGGGTCAGCGTTGTGAGAAAAAAAAAGACTTCAAGACTGTCCTCCAGCAAGGGGGAGGAAAGGTGTCAGTGCCCCATCCCAGCACAGGAACTGAAGCGCCCTTCTTGGAACAAACTCCAAATTAAGTAGACAAGTCAGACAAAGGAAAACGGGGAAACGGAGGTATAAGGGATGAACTGCCTCGCCAGAGGTCACACCGCCTGACATTTTAAGAGCTGAGGTCTGAATCAGGGGCTTCCTGTATGTCCCAGTCCTGTCGTCTGTCCACTTGACCTCCCTGCAGCTCGACTGCACAATTCAAGTAGTTAGCTCTGAGATTTTCTTGGCAAAGAATGTGTGTCTTTCTACAGGCCTGATTCCCTTCTGGCAGCAGCAAATCCATTGTGTAAATCCATTGACTTAAATGGAATTACTCCCAAAAAAGAGGAGTTGTGAGCCTGAGTCTAGAAAATGCTAATAAATTTGCAGCACTGCCCGGTACAAATGTGTATCAGCACTTGTGAGGGCCTCCCCTATGGCACGGCAGGAGTGCGGGGAGGCTCCAGGAAGCGGCTGTGTCCAAGCACTCACACAGAGCAGGTTCAGTGCTGCTTTGCTGGCCGAGATTCAGCAGCTGGAAACGGGCTCTTCCTCCTCTCGCACGTTACTTCTGCACGGAGCTCAGGGCTTGCCGTTTGCCACTGTGTGATTGCTGCTCAGGGAAATACTGCAGAGCTCTGCTAATAGCTGGGATTCATCTCAGAGTGAGTATTTTAGGCATGAAACCCCTAAACTTTCCAAGAAAATGGAAATGAAGTTCTTCGAATGGTTTCATAGGTTAAGCAGTCTTAGCGTGCACTAAATGAACAAAGTTATAGTTGCACCTCTAGCTATAACATCTCCTACAGTGTCAGGAAGATCTCTTAGTCTCTCGTACCCTGAAATGGAGGAATATTGTGAATATTCACCAGTGTTTGCGAAACACTTGCAGGCTAAAACTGCCTTATAAGTGCTAGCAACACTATTAAATGTGCCTCAATCCCTTTCCTCCAAAGTATTCTTAGCAGAATAAGATATAAAGAGCATTATTTCAGTCTCAAAGGAATTTGTCTGAGCCTAAATTATAGAGGGGAGGAAAAACAGTTTAATATGGAATAGCTCCTTTACCCACAACTATAGAAGAATGAATATAATGTTGTGTGGTTTCAGTTATTACGGATAACATCACCAGCAGGGCGTACTGTAGAGAGGTCTAGCAGTAGGATGTACCGATACGATTTGCTTCCAAAGACACAGGAAGACTGAATTTTCAAAGGAAGGTGGGTGCACCTCTGCAGTGTCCATATGTGATGACAGCTCCATCAGCCAACACCAGTCTTTAGCTGCACTTCATACACAAAGTCTGACAACAAACACACGAAGATGAAACTTCTTCGCGTGTTGCTAGAGGTCACAGTGATTCCCACTGCCGAGCTCTAGAAAAAATGTGTCATATTAATATGAAAAATTAACAGCCAGGGTCATAAAATAAAGCGCTCCCAAGTTTGAACTTTCCCATGCTTTGCAGATGTTTGGATATAGGGTTTTGGGCCGAGCCATCTTTAGTGTTAAAGCAAACATTTCTGTGGCTATAGTCATTAAGATCATGAAAATATGTGGATATGTAACTGAAGAAAGAATCCCAAGAAACCCTTCAACTCAGTGTTTATTGTTTTTCCCCTTTTTCTTTGCACTCTGGACCTATCTGCTGACCCAGAAGTAACAAATCCTTTCAGAACTAATTTATGAGAAACACTGACCCTGAATCAACATCTGTTAGATGACTGCAGTAAATCTTATTACATAATTAAACACCAAAATCTATGTTAAAATAACGTTAAGGGTCTGACTTGAACTCATAAAAGCAAGACTCTTCATTATGAAGGCTGAAATCCTATCCTTAATTCATGCTGCTGTGCGTTGGTATTTGTGCACATATGGTACAGTATATATGACCGTGCACTTTTTGTAGACCCCAGTAATACCTTAAGCACAACAGCACGAGGTAAGCAGGGGAGCGCTCAAGAAGTCTTGAGTTTCCTGGGTTTGATGGGTGTTAGTCAGACCCTCGAAAATACGGCAACTGAGTCATTTCCAATTAATTACCTGGGGAGTTTGAAGGGGGAGTTAAAAAAAAAGGGAGGGAGAGTGGGAGGAGTGGTATTTTAAGTATTCACCAAAACAGCCAAGAGAATTGCTACAGCTCTTTGAATACAACTGTAGTTTCTCCATCAGATCTATAAAATCCATGATCCCTATTGACACAACACACCATAATGAGAACCTTTTGGTCATTCCTGAAGGACTTAATCTCAGCTCCATGTCAGCCATTATGTGTTAAATGCTCCCTTAAAAGTCATCAAGCAATATGAATATATGTTGGGTATACTTAACAGCCCTTCTGCCCAAAGAACTTGAACTCAGATTTGTCCCAAGTTCATCGTTTTTACAAATCACTTCTGCCCAAAGGCTTCTGGTGAATGGTTTTAGCTCAGTTCCTAATTTCAAACATTGAAAATTCCAGCTCAGAAACTGTCACAATTCAAATGCCTTGTCAAGGCAGCTTCTTGGAGAGGAAGCCAAAGCTCTGGATGTGCAATCAAAGGTTGTAAAACATGAAAAGGAAGAACACCCTTGAAAAATAATTCTGCTATGAAACAGCCTGTGTGCCTTAGCTATGGGAAGGCAGTGGACTTCCTCTCCTAAAGAAACGATCCAAAGTCACTCACATGTAGTGCATGTGTAAATGCATGCCTCTTCTCATTTCTAGAAGTATCACATTTTGGAGGCCCAACCAATGTAGACAAATTATGACCTAATTTAATACATGGCTCAAAATCTGCTGGTGCAAAGTAACCCTTGGCCATGGTAAGTGTGGCAGTTAATCGTGGTTACAGTAGGTGGGGATCATCAGACACTCCCTTTGGCATAGACCTTTGGGAAAGGTAAGGTCACGACAATGGGACTTGGGAGCTGGAGCCACCAACAGATTCATGAGAAAACAAGTAAGACACCAAAAAGTGTGCAGGACAATTAAGGTGATCCAACCAAAACAAGTACATATCTTGGGTTAGTGGTTATCAGTAGATTTGCCACACCTCTGCTGTAAATATGCAATTAAGCTCAGCATCTTTGAAAGTCTGGCCTTGAGTATCTGTCTGCAATCTGCTGCACAGACTGCACTGATCTATCTGATGCAGATAGGGCTCTGATCTCTCTGAAGTCTTTTGTCTCTCCAAACCGACTCTGTTGTGGCATTGTGGTGATGCAAGAGGAGGCAGGACCGCATAGTTGTGCAACAACAGGGATGGTTAAAAGAAAACACGATGGATACATCTGCTCGAGTGTGAAGCAGCCAGGCATCAGATCCAAAATTATGGGAAAGCTGGAGATAAAATGCCAACAAATCCCTGGTACTTGTATTGATGTGTCCTAAAGTGTACTCTTTTCAGATGCAAAACTTGAAATCATTAAGATGCAGGGACGAAAAAATGTAGTTACAGCTAGAACTTGTAGCAATACAGTTGAAACCGGTACCAAAAAAGTAATGCTGGGCAGAAAGTCTTGTGATCCTGGTTTAACATCCCAAGGTACCCAAGCTTCTAAAGCAAATGCACATCAGCATAAAGCTGGGAAACTTTAACTAATCCTATGTTGGGTCATTTTCACAACAAAATATGTTGAGACTAGAAATAAGAGCCCCAACTATTTTCAGTTACTTTGTAAATCACCACTGGTAAGTGAAAAACCGACCTGAGCTAATTCTGTAAACACAGTTGGACCACTGGTTTTGTAACACGGATTGATGGCAGGCAAAGCCTGACACATGACAGAAAAGATTTTGTTGAGACGTAGTTTGCAGGAGTTATTTCTCCCTATATATACCAAATAAAACAGACCATTTTAGCTTTAGTACCCAGTGCAGTAGCACTATGCCAATCACTAACTCCATGTGTCAAGCAAAGAACCAGAGAATCACAGCAATCATTTTCCAAGAATGACCATGTTAAAAAATAATTATTACAGAAGCGTTAAAGAACTGATCCAAACCCCAGGGAAGTCAACAGAAATATTTCCACTAATTTCAATGGATTTCATAGGAGGCCTTACTTTTGCCAGTCTACCTACTGAAATAATTTTATGCTATTGTTTTCTGAAGACATAAAAAAATCTCATTTTTTCATAAGCAAACACCAGATGAATAGATTCTGTGCTCTGGCTGCCAAACTGGGAAAGCTCC